TTCCTTCCTTCCTTCCTTCCTTTATTTTCGTAGCTACTGCCTCCTGGGAAGGCGTCCGTCAAGCAATATAAGAAATAGAAATGTCCAATTTTGCCGAAACAAAAAACGTGCTGTAAAATGTGTACTTGTTTAGTGAGCCCCATGACTGTGTCGTGAATTGGTAAATTAATTCAGTAAGGGATGCATCGGACGGGTAAACCATGTTAAAGAGACCCCATTTGGATTGAAAAATAACTACGACATGCACAACTTTTGTGGAACTGCCAACTGCGGTTGTGAGACGATAAATTTCACAAAAAGCTCCTGGAGTGACAGCGCTGCACTAGCCAATGTGAAACGTGTCTCGTATGTTAATKTAGCTGTTTAGGACAAACATTTTGGTTAATATAATCAAAGAAATTCAACAAAATGACTGAATGTTTTCCTAGTTGTTTAGTACATACAACAACCCTTCCCATAAGTCCTTGTTGAATGGACTGTTGAATGTTTTCCCATTTCAGACCACGTGTCATTCTCTTGAGAATAAGATTCTTTGTTTAAGTGGTATTCATATTCATGTATCTTCTCATGTACAACTGTTGAACAAAGAAATAATACTCTAGGGAATGACACGTGGTCTTGAGGATAAGATTCTTTGTTTGAGTGGTATCCATATTCATGTSTCTTCTCATGCGCAACCGTTAAACAAAGAAATGATACTTACGAGAAAGACATGTGGTCTGAAATGGTAGAACATTTTGCCCAAKGTAAAGAAGTCTATCTTCTTTGTCCTCCCAAAAGTAGACTCCTTCACAGCCGTCATTAGTCTCCAAAGTGGCCCGACGATTAGTCAGTGTAAGTGTAAGGACGGCATTCAATACCCAAATATATTTCTTTTTCAAAGTATATTTCTTTTTCTTTTTCTTAATCCAATATTACAAAGTTTTTAACATCGTTCAGCTAGCCTTCATCGAAATATTTTCAGATAAAATAAATATCTTTAGTCAGTATTTTAGTATTCCAGTAGGCTTCCACAACTATCGAATGATCGACTTAGGAATACCTAACAAACATCATTCAAGATGGGCTGCGTTTGATTGCCTATACCCTATACCCAACTTCAATCGGCCAAATATTCAACAGCATTTATTTATTTTTACAATTTAAAAATCATAGTTATATTTATTATATATAATTTGAAATATAAAAGTCCTCCATTTTGATACCAGCCAATAAAATTCAAGCCTGAAGTTACCGCGATGCATCCTGGGATCGCTGACGTCGTTTTGACTTCTACGTGATGCACCTCGTATTTTTAGCCTCCAATTAAATTCAAGCTTGGAGTCGTCACTTTGCATCTTGGGATCGTTGACGTCAACATAAATCGTCGAGATTTTCATACAGGTTTTTCTCATATTGATTCATAAATATGTGGTTCTGTGAAACATTAACATGATGTTAGTAAAATCAACCCACTTTCACAGATGTTTGCGCTGCCATGTTGAAAGGAAACCACGCCTTCGCATCAAAACGATCTTGGGTTACGTTTTACTATTAGTCAATAGGCTGTTTCCATGATGATCCGTCATTTTACTACCACTATCAAAATGCTTCGCGAATTTTCTTTCTTATTCAAATTTGTATTTCCTCATGAGAATATTAAGACAATTGGTGCCAATGATTCACTGAAGAAAAGAAAGTGTGCAAGGGATTCTGGTACGCCGTGGGWATTTCTTGGTGTAGCAAGCTTTATAGTATTCTGCTGGGTTATKATTTTGTTTTACAGGGTATTTTCTAAGTCCAGATTCATTATTTTTGGCTATTGCTTTATTGTCTTCGTGCCTCAGGTGCCTTGCAACACCAAGAAAGATCCGTAGTAGTAAGTCACGTCATGCAAGTGGTCTAATAAACATACCTTCCCTAGTAGTAAGTCACGTCATGCAAGTGGTCTAATAAACTAACCTTGGGATCACGTCCCAATCTTTTTAACGTCTTGATGATCTGATTAAATGTCGGCCGTCTTTCCGGCTCAGTTTTCCAACATTCTGACATCAACGCATATCTGGAAAGAAAAACCAGGCTACATGTCTTAGGATGAGTTAGATATAGAATAGTGTTCATTTCCTTAATAGCTTAATAGTGATCAACCATGTTTAATTATCTCTGCCTCAATATCCCAAATCTATTACTGATAATCGTAAATATTATCCTTACATTTCTTTGTCTACATGTTTGGGTTTAGGCATTCTGTATCCACTTTGTATTAGCTGAGCAAGGAGTCGGCCATCTTGACCAGGATAAGGACAACCGCCTGATATACACAGAGAAATGTTTAGTGTTAGCCGTGAGTTAGAAAGAAAGGCATTTTGTGTAGACGCGTCTATATTCCCGCCAAAAAGACGCACCATTGCGTGCATGCGCATTAACAGCATTTTTTCTAGAAGCATCTTTATTCTCGTCAAAAGATATATCTTCTTAAAATCTAAAAAGACTAAAAATTATTGAATACAATGTTTAAATACCTATCGTAAATATTTCATAAAGAACAATCCCATAACTCCACCTGAAATTTAGAAAAAAAATATTAATGCACAATCATTCACATTCTCTCTTTTCCAGAGAGTTACCCGTTACTTAATCTCCGCCAAGAAACGAAAAGACTCCAAGGAAATTCTTGTGGATCCAAAGAAACGTAACGAATTGTTCTTGTCTGGTTTTGGTTTAATTAAGGTTTTGGCGATCTTTTGATCTTTGTATGAGCCAATCAGAATGACATACATGAGCCAATCAGAATGACAGATACATGAGCCAATCAGAATGACAGATACATGAGCCAATCAGAATGACAGATACATGAGCCAATCAGAATGACAGATACATTTACCCAAGGTCCTTTGTTTCTAGTCGTAAATCACAAGAGTACGGGCATAAGAAAGAACAATAGGTTCAGTTCTAGATTTTGCATGACTATGAAAACCATAGAATACAGTCATGTCTACCTAGAGAACGGTCCATGCATACATGTTTTATAGGATTTGACTAGACGAAGAGTAATCATCTCCATAACATGGTTGCGTCATGTGTGATAGTTTCATAGCCATCCTATAATCGTGTCCATGAAGAAGCATTCATGAAGAGTGGATGCTACAAGTTAGTATTTATGGCGCCTGTTCCTGGACCACAACACATCGTAAACAGAAGAAACTCATGCAGAGAATCCAAGGTATACTAAAGTAGCAACTTACACATCACTCTGCGTCGTGTAAAAACCATATAATAGTGCCTCGTATGCTGTCCACTTCACAGGAAGACGACCCTTGTGGGAAAAAGCAGGATGAATTACAACAGTCTTGAAGAATGGTACCCGATATTTGGACGTAAAGAAGCAAATGTAGAATGAATTTCGCGAAAACGACGACGCTTTTGAAATTTTTCAAAGTTACCTCTGAAACATATGTCTCAGCATAAAAAAATTAAAGAGTCGTTTCCTTCAAATTTTAAGAATAGTAGCAGTATTACTTAGCATACCCTGGTTCTTTTTTGGTAAATATCGTCGTTTGCAACATCCCTCGCCATTCCAAAGTCAGTTATCTTGCACATCTCTCCTTGACAAACCAGGACGTTACGAGCTGCGAGATCTCGATGAACAATCTATCAGAACAATAAAACATTTATACCGTTTGTAAAACCGTTACGAGAATTCGAGTCAAAGCGCATTTGATGAATTATGCCCAAGTTGACGTGGCTTAAATAAAACTGTTCAGATTCTTAATCAATTTTTTAGGAACCTTTCAAGCTTTTTTTCATTTTATTATAAATATATTTTWAAATTAGGACCATACTTCCAGACATCGAGTGCTGAACCGTCGTATGGCAGCTCGAAGCATTTACGGCTACGCCGGAGATTTCGACCCCGACACCGCTATCCCTGGACTTCCAGACTGATCAGGAAGCTTGGCCGAAGCCTAAGGGAGAGGTTAGTCGGCCCCTAGACCGTAGATGATTAACCCCTTGCTATGACCARCATGCCCATATTACCGCCTGTTTCACTGATGACTAAGCATCAAAGATGAATTTTTTCCCATGTGGGACGTATTTTTTGGAAAACTAGCCGTGATGTCGAGTATTCATTCACGCAAACTCAGAAGGTAAGAATCAAAATTGAGCTCTTGGTTTCTTATCCATCATGCGACTTGAGAGGAGGCGTTTCTTAAACCGTTAGTTTAAAGGCGGATAAGCAAACTGAACTAAAAAAAAATGAATAAAATAGCTGTAGTGCTATATTAGAAGTGTAAACTAAGCCAACTTAGCATTGATATCACCCTAGTCTCCTCCGTAAGAAAATAAAGACGGCTGCGGAGGGGACTAACAACACCCCTGATTCAATATTCTCTGTACTACAGTACTCTTGAAGTGAAAAGTTGAATGGTAAAATATTGCTTGATTTGATGAAATTATCATGAAATTATAAATGTTTAGCTTCCAATTTCTTGGCTTTCACGTGACGTCATCAAAAAAACTAAAATCCAAAGTAATCACTCCACGAAACTGTTTATTGGATATGTTGTTTATATCGTTAAAAGAAAAGCTTTACCAAAACTTAACTTAACCTAACATAACATAACATAATGGTTTATTCACAATTCATCACCTTAAGTATACAACAAATAGAAGAAAAATAAATAAATAATAAATAAATAAAGAAGCAAAAAACATGAAAAAATGTGAAAGGAGGTGAAAGAGGTTGTCCCTATCTAGTTCACTTCCTTAACATAAATTACAAATACAATTAAGAACATTCGAAAATTTMAACATTGAAGTTTACGTATATCTACAAATATATATAAAACTATGAACAATACGAAATAATTTTATCACTGGTGTAGTATTAAAGCATTCATTAAACATATCAATGCTCAGTTATCGTAGATTGATAAGTTATACACCGTAGTGAAAATAGGAACTGACGTTTCGGACGTTAGTCCTTCGTCGGAGTCCAACGTTTGGACTTTTCGTTTGGACTCCGACGAAGRACTAACGTCCGAAACGTCAGTTCCTATTTTCACTACGGTGTATAACTTATCAATCTACGATAACTGTTTCATTAGAAACACCGACCAGTCCACGCTAGCGTTTACTAGCCATCATCTACATATCAATGCTCAGTTTTTCCTAAAAGTTTTCAGATGATATTGGAAAGACAAGAATTTCTAGCAARTTACAATAAATACACTCGAATGCCTGATCAGGAGCGCGCGTAAACGAACGCAACCTACTTTTTTCGCAGAAAGGAAGGCCATTCCATCAGCAATTTCTCGTGAAAATCTCATCAACTGTTGCGACGTTAATGAGCTAGAAGGCTTCTCATCCGGGTCCTCATAATATGTATCGTTGAGCCCGCGACTYCTTCTTAGGTAGCCCAGCAGATCACCGTATGGGACATACTCAAATAGCACCATGATTGGATCTATCGGYGTGAGGTAGGAAATGTAGTTATGTATCTTATCTTAAATATATAGATAGATACTTTATTGCCTAACARTACTTGAAGCCACAAGGCTGAATTGCAATAGGACTCACAGAATGCAAAAAAATTACAAATTTATAGGTAAAAAAATATTAAAGAGATAAAGATTCTAAATATTTTAGTACTATATAAATTATATATATTCAATAAAGTCCTTAAAAGAGATCTACATATAAACATGACTTAGGATAAAGCTGTAATGATAAAAAGGTCGTAAATTATACACCGTAAAAAGATGAAAAAACTTATTGGCGTTTCRGACGCTAGTCCTYCGTCGGAGTAAAAGAGAGAGGGATAAAGCTAGGATAAAGCTGTTCTTGCAACGGTCGGTCTTGCACAAGGGTAGGACAAAGTCCCGCTTTCTTAGACAGCTTAATTGTGGTGGCATTTCCTACGTTTTACATCATAATTACTTTCTACAAAATAGACTTTCTTCGAGTTCCACTTCGAATTACCACTGTCTTGCTTGATTACAGACTCAGGTTTGGCCTCGAGTCAGTGTCTAAATATACAGAAATACCAACGGTAAAGTAAAGAATGCACAACTTCGACAACACAAACACTTTGACATTCCACGGACCTTCACTGGAACAYATGAATATTGTGCACAAGATCGAGGCKAACCCTCAGCAAGAGAGAACTCAAAAATGGAGTATTAATGAAAAACGACAGTAACGAAGTATCCTGCTCTATCAATACAGGCTTTCGTTTCACCCTCAGTCCTCACCTGTTGTGGTCACACCACCCAGAACCAGCACGATATTAGTGTGTTGACCAAGGTGTTGAAGTAGTTTGTACTCTGCTAAAAGATCTTTGCGACTGGATTCTTTTCCAGTTTTGTCTGAAAGAAAGRAAAAAGCCAGTCTATATTCCCTCTGTGAAAAACCTAACTTGCCAGATTGCAACTCGATCTTGAGTTAGCCGTGCCCTGACTTAGACCAGCCCAGAGGTTGTTTCAGAGGATAAAACCTTTAGGTTTTATATTTTATTTTAACTGCTACACAACTCTTTTTTTTTTACCTATTAAGAGAGAAATAATACTCAAGGGAATTCCAAGCGTGTTCTAAGACTATACAGGAACCTTAACACTAATTCTTTCTACCTGTAAATAGAGAAATAATGCTCAAGGGAATGACACGCGTGTTCTAAGAMAATACCTCTAATCATTTTCACAGCCACTGTTCCAATTCCCTCGACAAATGCTTTAGCAACTTGACAGAATGCTCCTTTTCCGATTATCTTTTCGACTCGTACTCTTTCTCGCGGTATTTCCCAGCCCTCTACTGATTTATCAACAAAGGTAAGGTTATCGTATATTGCTGATTGCGCATGCTCGTTCACAGATTGTGCATTGACGTAAGACCCGTTGGTTTCATCTAGAAAGTCCTGACTGTCTTCTTGGTTTTCGTGAAAAGGTGGTTGTCTCTGGAAGAAAGACCGAGAAAAGAAATCCTGTTCAGTTTGGTGGAAAAGCAGCCCAAATGAAAGGGGCCGAGAGAGGAGCTCCGTGGTACCCCTGAGTATACTCACTGTGCTGTAGCGGTCTTTCGATGCTTTTCTTGACATTCGTGAAGTTAATTCCTTCATAGAAATACTAAGACTAATTAAGCAGAAAAAACGTGATTATAAAAGCAGGAAATGATCAAAAAGAGAAAATGTTGGCGGTAAGCTTAAGATCGTGTTACACAAGAAGTTCGGTTTGAGAGAAACAATTACACACAACTTTACATCGCTTGTTTTCGGCCTAATATYATTACGTATCATTATCATCATTACAATCACTATTACCATTATCATTCTCAATACTATCATCATCATTAACTATCATTATAATCATTATCATAACCATCATCGCAATCCTCATTATTATTATTGCCATCATCATCCGCTCAAAACCATCATTATCATTATCATCACCATCATTATCATTATCATCAACATCACCACCATCATCATAACCATCATCTTCATCATCAACAACATCATCACTATCATCACTGTCATTTGTTTTTACAATTAATAATTAATATTATGATTAGATATTTACCTTCTGTGGTGACGAGTTTCTTCAGGTACTCGTAACTGCGGCTTAGGACAAGGAGGTGCTGAAAGACAAACATACACGTCTATTAGTTATTCCGTCAAATGTGTTGCATGTGACGTTTCGCAGCCATCTTGGATGTGCATGTCTGACAAAACGATTGTCTTCAGATTCTCAGTTTGTTAATACCTCCATAATGGCCGACGTACTATTTTTCTTTATCTCTCTTAGGAATGAACCGATCCCACACTCATCGGTCTACTTCCCTAGTTGTCAATGACTTACGTGGCTCTCGGTTTCTGCGTTTATAACACAARACAATAACGATCAAAATGATCAGCACCACTCCCCCACCAACGCTTCCATAGACCACGGCTAAGCCTGTGAAAATTTAAACGAAAAAAAATTGATGATTTGTGARCTGCCATGCATGTGTTTATACAAAGATTTGTGGAACGATAAGGTTCAGGTGAAACGTTAAGCTTCACATGAACCATACGCATTGAAAACAATAGATAATRAGGCAGTCGTCTTCTCTTATGACATTAAGTTTGGCTCATGTGCATGAATTTCGATGTTGGTATTCAGCTTATTACACACAACATTCATAAGATGTATTATGACGTCATTATTTTTATGATAGAAATAATGACGTCACTTTCTTTAATCTAAATAAAAGTCTTGAGAAGCCGGTGTTAAGAAAATAAATCTGTAGAAAACTTACTGGGGCGTGCTTAGTGAGAAAATAGTAACAGTAACATTATTATTTGTTTTTTTTATAATACTGATTTTTTTTTAACAAAATAAGGGTAAGTATTATATTAGCTACCAAATGGCTGTCACTTACCCGTGGAGACTGTTGAATCYCTTGGTTCTACGAGAAAACAAACAAGCTTCAACGAACTCATTGAGCATAATAGTGCGCAGAAGCAGAGGTGGACGCGCGGTGTAATTTCGTGGTTGCGCATGACAGTTGTGTTCGAGATTTAATSATCCTCTCAAACAGCAAGGTATTGTAGGCATGGGGCTTTTACTGGAAAGAAAGGAGGGGGAGGGARAAAAATTAAGGAGATAGGAATTTCATTCTCTCATCCTCTCCTTCCTACTTTCATCCTATTCCTCGTTCCCAACAATTTTTGGACTAGCTATCCAGGCTTGGAATTTCCCAACCCTCCCATGGAATATAATCCGCTCTATCTATATTCCTACCAGCAATAACTGTGATGTTTGTGGGAGGCCCAGCACCACTGTCTCCCTGTCTGTTTTCAGCAGACACAGCAAACCGGTAGCTCGTTCCCCAGTCGAGAAAAAATGACATGTTGAGATGGAGCAGGGTATCATGGCTGAAGTACTCCATCTTATCCATCGAGCCGTTGTTAAAAAACCTCGTCCTCATCACCAAATATCGAGTGATGTTACTGTTATGTTCGTTTGGCCTGGTCCATTTTAAAGTGAAATTGCGTGACGTGACAGTAGTTACGTTGTTGGCAATGATTGGTGGATCGGGAGGAAAACCTACAACAATAAACCAATCAGAAATCAAATCTTGTTTCTACTTTTTGCGATGTTTCTACTTTGCAAGCATAAAGAATAATCAAATAACTTACGAGTACGATTCAGTGTCAATGAGTACGAATCCCCTCCACGAATGTTCTGCACGACACAATAGTAAACACCAAACTGGGATTCATTTGTTACGACAAAACTAATAACGTTTGAATGAATAGGATCTGCACGAGGTGGACGCCATGTATACGTTGGTGTAGGATTTCCCGACGCGTCACAGACAAGTGTCACATTATCATGTAACCAAGAATCTTTCACTTTGGGCGGCATATAGAAAATATTAGGCGGGTCTGTCACAAGCGGAAASAAATAGAAATATATAATTCCTTGGCAATAAAATAAAATGATTATTAAGGTAGTGGATGCGAAATGTTTTAGCTTTCTATACTTCACTTTCTTGGCCTCAAATGAATAAATTAGTATTTTTCTGATTATGTTTTCAGCTTTCACTTTATTTGGGCACCCTGTGCCATACTGTGTGCGCATTCCTCCGTATACGAAAAAATGCCGGTGAAAAGAACCCTGTTGAATTCCTATGGCCTGGCTCACATTATTTCTTTTTACGCTATACGAAAAGAGTTATCACGAAAACTTAATCAATCATTTCTAAGTTCATTTTTGTATATTGTGGGATATCCTATGCCATAACCCATAGCCATATAGCATTTGTACAATTAACATTAGTTTGTGTACTTACATTGTACATCAAGAGTAAATGCCTTTTCTATGCTGTTACCGATCCCGTTTGACGCACTACATCTGTATGTTCCAGAGTCAGTCCTTTGTATACGAGGGAGCTCGATTATAACCTTGGTCTGTTTGGTAGGGGGGACTGATTTTCCTTCCTTCGAAAACCTAATTTTTGGTATTGGGTTCCCTGTGGCAATGCATCGCAAAGTTACTGACGAATTTTCCAAGGCTATTCTGTTATCAGAGATCATTACAATTTCTGGAGGATCTGTGGATAAAGTGTAGTAGTTTTGCGTTGAAATATCATCAATATTACATTACCATCAAGGGGGTAGGGTGCGGGGACAGTCTCTTACCCACCCTACCCCCCCAATATTTCAATTAGTGGATTGCAATTATTCCTAACCATCGCAATAGTTTCCTTTAGCTTGGGCGTGTCATTTCTTTGTTTAGATCCAAATGAAATAAAGAATCGTATTTTCAAAGGAATGACACATGGTCTGAAGAACGGRAAACAAACGCCCAAGCTATTCAATTCAAATCTTTCAATACAACGTAATGGTCTCTGAATTAACCTTTCCCTTCTGAGGCTGAAAAAAAAAACTTGGTGCGTCCAGTTGGCATTGCAGTGCATTGTGGGGCTCTTTAGGGGGCATATCCAACACTGGCTTCTTCTTTGTTCCCTAAAACAGTGGACTGCAATGCCAAMTGGACCCACCAAGTCTTTTCCTCAACCTCGGATTGGCTAATTATTACTTACACATGACATTGAAGAAAATGCTATCATTCAAGGAAACACTTCCGTTACTTGCGTTACATATRTAACGCCCGCCATTCGATCTCAAGATGCTCTTGAATATTAGAGTAGGATTGGATGACACTACTACATTAGGTTGGCTGTCCTTGAACCACGTAACATTTGCATTTGGGAATCCGGATGTATTACAGAATGCTGATGCTCGCTGATTCTCTATGAGGTTTTTCCTATTTTCAGAAATAAGGATACTTGATGCTGTGGAATATAATAATGAACAGAAAAAATATGATATTAAAATTTACAGAAAATAATCTTTTATGGTCACCCTATATCATCTTTTGGCAACAGCTTGTTGAAAAAAAAATTAGAACTTCCGTAATTACTGGCTATCTTATTTAATAATATTTCAGCTTTTTTTCAAGATTGTAGGCCATTGCAGCTAAAGTTTGCTAAAACGGAAATATTCCCTAATGAAAGCAGCTTTTATTAGCTCATAATGATTTACTTAAAAGAAAATATATGAAAATCTAGAAATAGGAGGTAGCTGCTTACTCAAACAAACTAGAAAAGTGCGATAAACAATTCCTAGAGATATCTAATAATAAAATAATATTTATTTACTTAATATTGCGCAGTCTAACATGCCAATATATGATCGATCGAGTGCGCATTCTCGATATCTAGGATAGAAAAGGGGGTTAAATTCGAAAATTTAAAAAATTTAAAAGAATTAAAGAAAGCGGAACGTCAGCTACAGATAACAAGAACAATCGATAGTTTTGTCATCAAGTGACATTTGATGAAAAATGGCTGATTTTAATGGTGCGATGAAGTTAAAATTCCTGTAATATCCTTTTAATAAAGACTAATAAAATCGCCAGATTATTGCTACAACAATGGTATAATAATAYGTACTCTCTCTTTTTGTATTACACCGAATTATCTCAAGCTCATGGACATACAATGGTTGATAAGAAGCTTAAAAAACCGGGATAAAACAATTGGATATTGGTCTYATAGACGTCTCTGAGAATGTTAACATGATAAATGACATAACTTGAGTTTTTTAAAAAATTTGTTAAAGGATATTGTTAACGTAAAAATAAACCCGCAAAGACTTGCAAAAAGGTTAATTCTTATGGTGTTTGTTCAAGGTGAAAAGGGAATTGTTGTAATATAATCCTCTAGCCTAGTTGACAAGACAATATTGCGTAAAAGGCAACATTCTCTTTCCAGACAAAGTCCATGAACTTATTGGAATGCAAACATGTTCTGATTCTTTTTTTCTTTTTTTTTCACTAAAGAAAATACTTCTAACCAAAAATCACAAAGAACTGAAGAAATCATTTATCCTAAAGAAAATCGAAAGTTTCATTTTCCGATCCGAAAGCTGGTTATTTTAAAGTGAATTTCCAACCACAGTTAGTCTATCAGTCCTGGTAAAATCAAGTCCCTTTTCTTTTCGAAAATCACGCAAAGTTGTACATCTTTTCTTGCTCAAATTCCCAGACCTAATGTTGCCTTATTGATTYAAATGCGGCTTTGAAAACGGTTAAGCTATTAATGAATATAGTAAGTGAATTTGACTTTAGTCATGTGCAATCAAAATGGATTAAATGTAACAAAACAAACGATCTGTCTGTTTAAGGATAAGTACATACCTTGAGGTAGTTGTACGAGGACTTCAGCGCTAACTAGAAGCGCAAAGAACACAAAGATAAACCCCATTTCTTTAGATTTCCTCGGTGTTTCTCTGAAGAAGATTACACTAAGAAACGGGCGCTGAGTCCTTGGTCCCGCATCTAGCGTGACTGTCACCTAAAACGTGTTCATTGTGTGACTTGTGGAATTTGATGCATTTTCGTTTTGCTCATGCGAATTATGCTATAAATGTATAGCATACAGTCCAATAAGAAGACTTGATCAAGAAATCAAAGAATTTTCAAAGCAGTGTTTGTCTACGTAAAAGCGAAAMAGCGCTTGAAAGGTTCGATACTGTATCGAGCAGCTCGAACCCTGTCACGACTCTTTTACAACCGGAACTCCTAAGGGCAAAAACCACAGGCAACCCAAATCTTCGATTTCTCAAACATAATGTGGAGAAATTAAAAAGATAGCTAAAAGAGCTAAGGCAAGATGGAGCCATCTACAATGAGGATAAGTCACTGCCACTAACAGGAAGGGCCGGCCAGTGTATATATTGGCCCTAGACACCTAAACTTTGACTCATTTAGTCCTTAACGTATACAACTTTTGTTATTGGCAAAGTAAAATCACTGTTGTGGTATTGTCAGATATAACAGTTACACCCTATTGCCTACAAACAATTGTTTTAAGGCAAGGCATTTGGGCCAATACAATAAAAGTAATAAACTGGCCCAAATGCAGCAATATTGTTTGAAGGCAGTAGAGTGGAAACTCAACATCTGCTATTATTTTACTTCCTCCTTGAAGCAGGAGAGAGGTACAAAAGTGGTGTAAGCAGAGCCAAGAGCTTCCCCCCCTCCCCCCTACCACCATCAGTGGAGTTGATTCTTCTTTCCTTCAACTCTTGTGGTCCTCATGAAAAGCCAAAGAATAAATGGTTATTGATCTTGACAGGACAAGGAAAACTTAAGTACAGGTTCCATATGTACAAATAGGATTAGCATTATCTGCTGGATAACATCATCTGATAGTACTATCCACCTTTGTACAAAAAGGCCTCTTTCTGTCCAGATCAACTCCTAAATTCCAATCTAATCTTTGGTTATTCACAAGGACCACATAGCACCCWAAGTGAGGGAGGGGGTTTAGATTAAAAAATATAAGTGACTAGAATGAAAGAGTAAAAGCGGGGATGCTTATTAGATTGCAAAGTCTAGTATCCCTCCACCAAAACAGTCCCTGTTTGGTTAGTAGATCTTACAATGTTTCCATCTTTCTCTTTTCTGCCTATTCGACTATTATGAACTGTTTCAAGGGTCTGAGTAAAATCATTCTATTTTTTCACAGGCCAAGCAAAATCTCTCTACATAGGAAGTCAAAACAAACAAGATGAAGGAAGAATGATACATCACATGAAGTTGTTTCAGGCATTTCGATCCTTGACCACAGTTCTAAGATGCACTAAAACCACACTGTAGGCTAACAAATGCCAATAGAGGTAATCTAGAATTTCATTTTGACATTTCACTTTTGAGTGACCACAGTAAATCTGTGAAACTTTAGTAATACTAAACAGCACAATTTCATGCAAATTCCATTGTTTTCTATTGTTTAACTAGCACTATTTTGTACTATTTATTAATTAGTGTTTCACGGATTWACTGTGGTCACTCTATATCGATGAGATGTTTAATATTAGCAAATGTAGGCGAAATTACTTGAAGAACAAGATTTTACAGAATATTTTAGTCGTTCTTTTACAAAAGAAAGCTAAGGTATGAGCAAGATTCAGCAGTTGATAAGCAAGGAGTAACACAGGAAGTTTTTTTTCCTTCTACTAACTCACTTCATCCCCCATCTATCATCCATCACCAAGTCTGATGACAGCCCCTCTTTTACACCAGTTTAGTTTTAGAACATATTCCCAGAGTCTACAAGCCATTTTTTGGATATCACTTTTAACCCCACTTCTACATTAAAGTACTAAAACATAACAATAAAGCAATTTTTATCAGGAAGAATTTTTATTTTTATTTTTCATTGCTTTTCACATTTAATGAGAACTTCCAAGAACCTGAAAAATAAGAAAATTTATTCGATGACACAGACAAAATGAAGCATAGATGGGAGAGAGTTGGTAGGTGAAAAGGACCTTTCTCAAATTGTCTTGAAAGATCACAAAACAATGGCTGAAAGTCTATGTTGGCCTTGATAGGATGAATATCAAAATGTWTATGAGCCCATCAAGTCCATCCTTGTCTTAGAGTCATCTGTTGCTTTGCTGGTCACTCAAGCACCAAAATGACAGTTTGAAAGAAAAGGTCTATTACTGTATCTTTATTTTAGTTGAGGGGGGRCAACATTGTTAAAATTTACAAAAAMAATYCTTACAAATAATATTTTAAAGCATTACTTGCTACATTAGAAATTATTTTCTGGTGATGCATGTTTTGGTTGTAAAAATGAAATAGGGTCATTAATTATTACTAAAGATATGAAATGTAAGSGTAAAATACTTGTCCAAAAACAATGGCAGATAATCAAAAGTTTACAATACCTGGCCTGCAATACGATCCATATCTCTCTGGCCCTGGCTTGTGATGAAACGGCCACTGAAGAGAATTGACAAAAGTTATACATTAATGGTCTGTATTAGTAAAAACAGTGGTTAAAATATGAACATCTCKTCTAGAAATCCAGAGAAGTAAAGGTATATGAATATCGTATGATTGCTTTTATTTTAACACTTCTAAATACCATGTCTGGAATCATTGTGACATTTTGGTGGACRTCAATCATGACATTTCATTCACATTCTGTAGGCACATGCCCTTTGAAAACTTTGTATTTTCCGACAATCCATCTCTGACAATGAGGGTTCRTGCTGAGGTAACCACTTAAAATTCAAGGACAATTCAAGGAGTATACAAGGACCCAAAAATAACTTTTTTCAACAAGTATGTTCAGCTAACTATGCCAAGGTTTTACACGGTGCCTGCACATGGCCAACCTTCAGATTTTCCAATCTTTCCGACTAGATCTATTTCAGAACCATGCAAGTAATGATCAAAGCAAAAATTCAAGGRGTTTTCAAGGAGTTTCGCTAAAATCATAAAATTCAAGAGCTTTTCAAGTGCCCTTGAAAACGTGATTTAAATTCAAGGAGATTAAGGAGTAGCACGAACCCTGGACAATGTCATGGAAACACTTCAATTGTGGTTCACCAAAATCRATTTTGTTGTGACCGCAAATTGAATGATTTCGCACGAATGGGAATCGCTGCAATGGCAATTTCATTGAAATGGTTTCCATTCCATGACAATCATTCACTTTATTCCTTGCTTGGCAATGGAGGTAATTATGTGTGGGGAAAATAAAAAAATAACTCACCCTCCTTCCTTCTTTTCAATGAGTTTCATCTGCTCCAGTGACTTTAAAACAGAGCGAGCAATAGATGACGAACCTTTGACAAAGTGGCTGGGAGCAACACCACGRTTTTTGCTACCTGTTAATGGTAATAGTTTAATTTTTTTTGGAATGAATTAAAACTTCATGATAAGAATTGAGAAGGTTTGACTGCTAAACTTTACCTCCATAGACTTTAGTAAGAGCACCAACACCAACACCTCCACGAAGATAGACATGTCGAAGAACAGCAGCTGAAATGCATGATAAAAAGTAATGTTGACAACTTTATTTGACTTGGTGGAGTCTATTATTTTGGCATAARATAGGCCAATTTTGGCATGTTTGTGACCTTGATTAAAGGGAGAGACTTTAGTGCCTTTTGTGTTTTTCGTGGAAAGAGGAAAATCAGAGAACCTGATAAATAAATCAACTGAGACCTGCCAAACTCCACTCAAAAATTCCAGATATTGAAACTAGGACTCCAGAAGTACGAGGCAAGTCAACAACTACAGAATCTTTCATAAGCCCTGRGCTTATATGATTTCATAAGGGTTTTTTGGCTCATAAATTGGAGGGAAAAACGCTTGCTCACCAAAACCTGATTTCAATGTATTCGCACCCAATGTCTWATTGAATGTGGGCAAAAAGTGCAGCTGTACAAAGGGTGAATAGTGCTATTGGATGGATAAATCCTTATCCAGTGGTTAAATCAATGSTGTCATCYGAGAAATATTTTCGCTGGTTAAGGTTTATCTGTYGAATAGCACTATCCCCCAGTATAYAAATGTCCTATCCATTGTCCAATGTATGTTAGGGCATACTTACCAGCTCTAACRTAATACCAGTCAGAATCGTAAGGTGCAAGCTCCTTATACTTGCCAGTCTTGACCAGATCTACCCAATCTGGGACTTTTAGGTTGCCAGATCTTCAAAGATAAAGTTAAAAATAAGCTTTCTAGTTTTAAGAAAGATTGGCACAATGTGTATGATGAAAAAGGTGAACATGTTGATCAAATGGCATAGGAAATGCATAAAATGATAAATGCGGCGTGCTTAACTAGTCAAAAAGATACAACCTCCTTTCTTAGYGACATAAATGTTAATTTTTCAGATAAAACAGCATTGAATTGACCAAGCGACATGCCATTTGAAATATCACGAGATTCAAACACTTTCAGAATCAGAATTTCTCGAAACTTATGAACTACCACCCTCATTAAACGTTGTAAAGCATAATGGTTTTATAATTATAAGATATATTTGATTGAAGACTACTTTTATAAGATAAAATACTTTAAAGTAAAGAGCTTTAGCCCCACCAACTTACTTTTTCAAGAAGGCTGCCATAGCCTTCACGAAATCGTGAGCATTCACGTCCTTTACTGTAGCGCCACCAGGCATCTAAAAGGCAAAAACGATTATTTTTAGTCAAAAAAGTCTAAATCATTACGAGAAAAGTTGGATTGAAGTGAAAACACGTGGAGATAGAGAAAACATGGCCGCCATGTTACCTTGATGGAGAAGAAGAGAAAGAACAAGGGGTGGACCGACCAATAGCAAGGGCCAAATACACAGGAAGCCCAAAAAGTCATTTTCATTATTGAGTCAAAGTTTTTATTATACAAATAAACAAAAATAATGATCAAAAATAATTATGATCAAATGATCATAATAATAACTGGATATCTGCATATRACTAGGACGGTTGATGCGCGATTTCTTATATAAATTAGCCGCTTTTTATTAGCATTAAGTAGAATGTTTTTAGCAAACCGAATWTTCTTTCGTATTTAATTTTTTTATTCCTATATGAAAGTAGTAAAACAGTTACTAATTGAAAAAAAAATTGTGCAAGGGATTATGGTAGTGGTAGTAGATGACGTCATAAACTCAGTACTTTYGTTCATGGGTTCCCTGTGGTGGATAGTTTAGGAAGACAGACAGRCAGACAGACATGCAGAAAAACGAAAGGAGAGGAAAGCAAAACGAAGAGAAGGATTGCAACCAACGAGCGATGTAGAAAAAAATTAAAAAACTCTAGTCGGTAAGAGTGTAATTAACAGCTTTTTGTCAAACTTTGCAGAGTAACTGAAGGAAATGGCGGGAACATTGCATCGTAAATTTGCGCGCATTTATCACATTGCACACGCTAATCTGCGCGTTAAAAATAATAAAATTATTATATGTAATTTTTTAATGTAAATTTTTTATGCAAAGATTTTTGAACTACGCAAATTTGAGTGCGTTTGACTATCGTCATCTGAATAAGCTCCCCCACCCCACTGTTACTGGGGCATGTTGAGAGGGGATGCTATATAATGCCTTTCTAGATAACAGTCACCCCCTTTGATTGAAATCGTTCTGGATCCGTCACGGGAGATGACAAGGGCCACCCCATGGCCAAGGAAATCCTCAAGCTCTTCTTCTAAGCTATGAATAAGAGTGACGAGTGATTGATGATTATGAATGTGCGCGTATTTCATACCACTATACGTGACCCTCTTGACCCAATAAGAATGGAATGCTGTGACACTGGACTGCATCAATATTTCAGTATTGTCACGGTAGGAGAGGAAATACAGTTGTCTTGTGATAATACAGAGAGTATAGGTGAGTATTGCGATGATATTCGCGTTTTTTCCCTCGAAAGATTCGTCTTTTATACCAAGTAGATTGATTTCTGGGTTGTCCCCAAACCCATTAATATATTAATATTATTTCAAGGAGTATACTTGAGCTCCTTCTCCATGACTAGGGAATCTTCTGTGATAGCTCGCACTAAACGAAGAGACCCAAAGATYGATATGCGTCATCCATTACCTTCCTCCTCAACTTTGTAAGAGAATATCTCTAAGTCAGTGATGAATGGTGGAGTTGAATCCATAGAAAATAATTCAAGAATGAAGTTATATAAATATCTAATTATTTCCCCAGGTTTATTGAACTTGGTCTTCTTGGACCAGTATTGCAGCAAGGTTTATTGAACTTCAGTATTGGAGCAAGATTCACAAGACCTTTTCTGCATATCGCTGATCGAGGAGAATGAGGTGTGTGGAACAGTGGTAGAATGGGTCACGTCATTATCACTAGTCTTCTCCTTCTCATTGTATCTTGTGCTGATGGGCAACAACAACGGCCGTGGACATCACGTGACTGCCAGGAGGTAAACTACTTGTAAGGACTGAGGGATGGGTGGCATGCAAGAGAGATGTACTGATGGGTTATGGGATATATAAGTGGTAGGTCTAGGTAGTTATCTTACAGGTATGGGGTGCATACTATCATATTTACTATTTAAATAATATAAATTTTCTTTTTTAAAATATACTGACATTTTCCTTGCTTGAACCAATGTGACGTCATTTTCTTGAGTATTAAAGTGACAAGTCTTCAAGTGTATTTCCATTTTCAGATGTCGAGAGCCTGCCAACCTTTATCTCAAGGGGCCAAAGGATTGCCCGGGGAAGACGGCCGGCCCGGTAGAAGAGGACCTCCGGGAAACCCCGGTCGACGAGGACCACCCGGACCTCGGGGACGTACACTACCACGTCCCCAACCACCGGGTCCATCACCCGAGAGAGGGGAAATCGGGGAGCCTGGATTTCCAGGACCTCCAGGGGAACCAGGAGAAATCGGCGCCAAGGGTGTAAAAGGAAGATCGGCGACTAACGGGGGTTTTGCTAGAGGTAAAGGACAAAAGGGGGAAAGAGGTCGGAAAGGCCCTCCAGGACAACGAGGGTCGACAGGAGATTCGGCATCCGTTTGGACCAAGTGTACATGGAGAATAGATAGCAAACAAGATGATGGGTTAATAAAGGTCAGTAAAACTTATTGTGTCCGAAGCAGGGGTAGTGAAGGTACGGCCAGCTGTCCCTTTCTTTCTCTCAGCTACCTTCTTCTAAACCGAGCATTCTCTGAAAGAACAATTCAAGAGATGAGAAGCGATCGCGTCACCCTTGATTTTCTTGTATAATGAATGATATTTGACTGATAATTTTTTCTAGGAATGCGTTTTCTCTAAGAGAGATCAGCAAAACAGCCTCCATGTTGTATACGAAGGGACTCTGGAAGTTGGTCTATGTACGCGCTGTTGTAAGCGTTGGTACTTTACCTTCAACGAGAGAGAATGCTCTAGTCCCGCTGTCATAGACGCGTTCATGTCAGGTGGAATAAGCAAGGATTATCCTCATCACTCTTACGGCAGGATAGAAGGACTTTGCGAAAATCCTTTACCATCAGGACAAGTGCGCATTGCTCTACGAATTGAAAACTGCCCGGGTATATCGGGAGCACCCGGGTCTGTCGATATTAATCTTTTTAATCCTAATGGAAAAATATTGATACAGGAAGTAACACCATCTCAATAATGACAAACTGTCAGACTAGATTCCTTCTGTATAGCATGTTTTCTCCAATATCTTTTGGTAATGGAATAACATTCTTTGTTTGAATTTGCACACTTAATATGAATATATATATATCTAATAAACGTTGATAAAGAAATGATTCTCAAGGGAATGACACGTGTTTTCTAATAGATAGACTAGTGTATCAAGCAGGGGACAGACCCCTTGCATCAATTCCAAGAGCCACTCTCAAATMAAAAAAAACCAAACTTGTTATCGCTAGTCACCACCGCAAGCCAGCAGTGGCGCAGCTCAACGGGGTCAAACTGAAAGCCTCAGCTGGCAGCCGCTATGCAGTCAAGGTATGAATTTGGATTCTCATGAGAGTCAAATTTTGTTTCGTCCAATGAAATGAGCTGCTTTGGTAATTTCCTACAAGGGGTCCAGGATCACACAAACTGATTTAGATTGAAATTAAGCGACTCCACTCCCCCACGGGATATAGAGTAAAACATATGTGAAGTGCAATTTCAAYGTAGGGATTAATATTTTCGTGCAATAATCAATCCATATAAATAAAATTGTATGGAAGTATGAAACGAAGCGTGACCAAATGTCACCGATTCCCACCCCCACCCCAACCCTCCATGGGATAGAGAGCACAACAAGCATCAATCATCAAACCCTTGAGAGAAATCCTAATCTCACACTTGGCCCCATGCAATGTTGATATCGAATGACTATGGCTTTGTGACGATTAGCAACAGTATCAAGTCACATAATTTGTCTCGCTGTTGTTGATTGAACTGCTTCAATGTGACTAAAGAAGAAAGGAAAGTGCTCATCCAGCCAAGGCTTGTAGATTGTTGTAGAGAAGACATCAATTACAACAAGAACACAGCAAGATGAGGAAATGTTTTATAGATCTGGTCTTTGCTGGTCTATTGTCTACCATAGTGGACAAATGTGCATCCCAAAGAAGTCGCATTCCATGGAACTGTCCTCTGGTGAGTCTGTCTTTTATAATGGTTCCGCTCCTAAAATCTTGATACTGTATAGAAATTTAAATTAGAGCATTTCATGGAACTGTCCTCTGGTGAGTCTGTCCTTTATAATGGTTCCGCTCCTAAAATCTTGATACTGTATAGAATATTAATAAAACTTGAAATTATCATTCTTTGAAATGTGATTTATTTAACAGAGCTTAGACTAGACACTATCAATTACGTGGTTCAATAACCATGTTTACCTAAGGAAGCTAGCCTTAGTTACTTTGCTTTGGATCAATATTAGAATTCTATCTCTCTCGTCAGATGCTTGAATCATGCGAGCTCCTACAAGGTATTGAAGGCTTGAARGGATCCCAAGGAATACCCGGGACATTAGGCCCTGCAGGTACCCCAGGTCTACCGGGTCCTCCTGGACCTCCCGGAGACCCGGGCACTGTGTACGGCGGTGGAACAAGATACATTAAAGGATCGAAAGGAGATCCCGGTTCCCTCGGTGCTAAGGGATCCAAAGGTGACAGAGGTCCTCGAGGGTATCCCGGAGATGATGGAGATTTAGGAAGCCCACTTGGTGGAACAGGACCACCGGGTCAACTTGGTGAAACGGGATCTTCTGGAACATCGGGGCAGAAAGGAGATTCGGGTGTGAATAACGTAAACTGGAAGCARTGTACTTTCAAGCTGAATGTCAACAAGAAGGAAGGAGTTGTTCACGTAGGTGACACTATCTTTGTTTCTTTATGTCGTAGATGTGCATCGTTGCCATCGTCACCATCATGTTCATGATTAATGTATGACACTGTTGCTGTTATCAAAATGTTGTTTTTAGCACTATCACTTCATTGTACGTGTCATTGGATGAGGTTGAGTTGAATATGGTAAATAATCAAGACCATGAGGCTTTTTTATTTGCCGATGCTATCATAATCTCTGTCGTCAATCATCATCAGCGTCATCGTCATCGTCATCGTYATCGTTATCGTCATCGTCATCAATATCCATCATCGCCATCATAAATTCAAACGCCGCCATCATCACCACCATATCATCGTCATCATTCATCATCCTCTTTGCTTCACCACATTTCACTGCACAAATAACCAAACATTTTCCATCTTCCCTTTTTCAGTCATGCATCTTCCACAAGCTTCGCAGCAACACAGCCCTGCATCTCACATACCAGGGAGATATCCATGTTGGTCTGTGTGGAACCTGCTGCAAGAAATGGGAGTTTCAGATCAATGGTCAACCCTGCTCCTCACCCGGTCCTATCGATGCGGTCTACGATAATTTAATGCTGGTTAATAACGGCAGACCTAATGTTCTTCCTGTGTTCTCGCATGGTAACATTTCAGGGTACTGTAGTGCCATACCAAGTGGTTATGTACGCGTTGATCTTATCCTCAGCAACTGTTCAAAACTCTCTTCCGATTCTATCACAGTTAGCTTAAAGATCGTAAATACAGGTAGACTTATCATCCAGGAGGTCCAAGAGTCACAATCATAGGACTGAGAATGAAATTTGGGTTCGACCACGCAAGACCTTCATAGTGTCACTTGTTAGTCACGCTTTTATGCAATGTATATATTTCTAGCGATATTCCAAGGAGGTGGTAGGTGCAACCAGTACATTCCTGATATCTTTCCAAGCCCCCTTCCAGACTGCAACCTACGAAGTTTACCTTTGGTATTACATAGCTCAGTCATTACAACTTATTTTATATTAATGCCTGCGCAAACAGTATGTAAGGGTATTTTCAGGATTCGCACACTAAACTCAACGAATTATCCCTCTCACCCTTCCTCGAAATCTCATGCATGAAGCAATTAAACTCAGAAATTAAAGAGATGGTGATGGGCAGGCTTGGCACCCTTGGAAGATTTGAATACCTCTTGCATGGGTTATTAGTGCATTGCTACAAGCAGTACATCATAATCGACACAAATAAAAGAATAATAAAAATATGACATTCACTAACGCTGGTCCCTTTTCCCCGTTCACTCTGTAAACAGAAATTCTGGGCAAAGGGAAGGATAACTCTTAAAAGACTTCTTAGATTGCTGTATCCTTCGATCGTTCGTTCAAACTAGTTAAGACACTCGTGCATTTTCCTACTGCATTTTAACTWAAAAAAAGCAATATTACACGAGGCTCCGTCAATCGAGACGCGACTAAGAATGTCCAATATTTTAGAAATCTTTAACCCACTTGAAGTYGCAATCGGAAATGTTGCTCTTAACATGTTTGATGTGCTATTCCTAGCCGTGCGTAGCCAGACTAATGCAGCGTGCATTATATATGTTAGGTGGAAGGTTAAAACAGTAGTTCATACACAGGGACCCGCGATTTATTTATTGATTTAGATGGTGGGTATGAGTAAATCCCCCCCCCCCTCCCCCTTTAGAGACCTGTTGAAATGCTCGTTACTCGTTACTGGTTGTCCATAGTGACTATACATGAGTACGTTGTTTACCATACATGTGAACAGACAGGAAAATTGATTTTTTTCGATTTGACTTTTACTTTTGGAGATATTGGAAGAGAAAACCCAGGATTCCGCTTCCAGAGATGGTGGGTACTAGCCCTACCCCTCCCCTCTAAATCAAGTCCCGTAATAATTCACAGGCTAAAGTTGGCGTGACATTCATACTGACACAAAGGAAGGAAGTACAGGAATGCTGATGTGAAGAAGCATGCAGATTGACGAAAGCAGTTCCAGTCATATCRTTTTACTCCATTTTGTATTCAACACGACTCCAAAAATTCAATGTTCGAGTTGACAAACTCAAAACAAGGCACCTCGTACTTAATACACGCTGTGTGCTAAGCACTCCTAGTACTCCCAGCTCGCGAGACACGGATGGTTAAGGTCAGTATTAAAGACAATAATCAGCTTTAGTATACCGACAAGTACGTTGTGTTTAACGCATTCGTTTTGGTGCGTCTCTAACTGACATTACTTTTTATCTCTAATTTTTAATAACTCGATCGTTACACAAATTTCGGGGGCAATAAGCATAAGTCTGACAGGACGGTTGTTAATTTTAAAACAGGTTAGCTTAAGGAGCAAGTATGACTTCTTTTCTTAGAAGAAAAATTCCTTCATCACCTCCTCATTATTAAGTACAAATCGCCAAGATTGTTTTTTTTTCTATTCGTTATTTAGTATTGATTTAATATTTCAGTGTCCCATAGGCTCAATGCCAGCTTCTATCACTCGAGAGTGTAATCTCAGGAGGTAATCCCGCGGGATTTAAAACGAGATTGATTTCTTGATTCGCATTTCTCGATCATCTTTATTGTGCATACCTTATCTTAGTTTCTTTTGCTGTTGGTCTGCAGGGTACCTGTAGTTGTAGATGAATGACTGATCGTTCAAGGGTGCCTCCAACATGTCGTACTTGCTGCCATCCATCGCTGCTCTAATTCTAGTCATGGCTCAATTAATCAAAACACAAAGTCCAGACTTCAATTGGGGAATATACAACTGTAGAGAGGTTAGTACTACACTGAATGTCTTCCCCCAAAAATAGCTGTACGCTCCACTGTTCTAGAATGGGTTGCCCGTGACGATGCGCCTTTGACTACCCATCATTTAATTCTTCCTTGCCCTAACATTTTTTAAAGAGGAATTTTTTATTCTTATTTTGCTTTTTTGCAGCTTGAAACCAAATGCCTTTCATACTTCTTTGGACCCCCAGGGGATATGGGACAGTTGGGGCAACCCGGGATCCCAGGACAAGAYGGTCTCCCCGGTACCCCTGGACCAAAAGGGCCCAAGGGATACAGCGGGATTGGAGAGCCCGTCCCTATAGCCGGTCCAAAAGGCTATACTGGTATTCCTGGTCTTAAAGGCATCAAGGGAGTCCGCGGTAACCGAGGATTAAAGGGCGAGAAAGGAGACTCTGGGAGCAGTCTCCAGGGTGATAAAGGAGACAATGGATTTCCTGGCTTCCCAGGCCCCAAGGGATTCCCTGGAAGCGGTGGAATGGTACTAGGATGGAAGAGCTGTTCTTGGAAGTTTGATTCGCTACAGGAATATGGCCTGACTAAGGTACTTTACCCACGGCACGGCACGGCACGGCAAAGCACAGCACAGCACAGCGCAGTACAGCACAGCACAGCGCAGCGCAGCACAGCACAGCACAGCACAGCACAGCACAGCACAGCACAGCACAGCACAGCACAGCAC